AAATCCCGGCGCCCACCTGGGGAAACAGAAGAGGCCCGCCTTGTTCCCGCGCGCTCAGAGCTGGCACTCATCAGCGCGGGGCACGCGAGCCCGAAGACGCGGGCGACGGCAGTCAACGGAGGCTGTGATTCTTTTCCAAGGGGATCTTGGCGTTGGCGTTGGGTTTCGGAGCGTCGACCAGATGGCGCGCCCTGATCGGGCACCCCGCGGGGCGCGGATGCCGCGCGTGCGCGCGAGACCTCGCGCGTCGCCAAGCGCTGCCTACAAGTTGGGCAGCGCGAGAATGGTGCTCGGGCCTGGTCGCCACGAAGTGCTTCTTCCACTGCCCGTATCTGGGCGTTGTTGTAGCTGGCGGCGGCCTGGGCATCGGCGCAGATCAGAGTGGGGCAGCGGCCGCGTCGACAGATGGCAGCGAGGCCCCGGCCGGCGTAGCGGTCCAAACAGATGCCGCGCATCTCATCGGCGTCAACTTCAACTCCAGTTCTGACTCTGCGCGTGGATCCGATGGTGGAGGCGGCGGCGCGACGGCTGGGGGCCCGACCGCGACCGCGTCAATCATGTGTTTGGCGCGCCCACGTCGGTGGGCAATTCTTTCTCCCATCTCTGAGCGTTGCGGTCGGCCTCCAATCTGGGCGCGGAAGACAGCCGGGCGGAAGCTAAAGGGCCAAGTCGTCCACGACGCTGGCCCTGATTGCCGCGGTCGGCACTTCGGCCAGGCGCGCGCGTCTGCGGCGTTGTTCTGTCTGGCAGGGCAGCTCGCGCAAGCGGACCCACTCGCAGGCGCGCGGGTTGGCCGAAACCGCTGATGGTGGCCCGCCGATCGTCGGGAACCGCGAGCTGGCCCGTCGGCGGGAAGGCGGCGCCCGCGCTGCGCCGCTGGCCGATGAGGCTCTCATCTCTCGGGGGCCCCGTAGAATTGCAATCCTCCGTGGCGCGCGAGCGGGGGGTCGAGCTCCGTCGGCGGCTGCCGACAGCTCCGCGGCGGCGGCGGCTGCGCCGGGGGGCGGCGGCAGCGCTGGCAGTTGGGGCGGTCCTGAAGTTGCCGTTGCAATGTTTGTTAAACATCTGAAATGGTGGCAGGGCAGCTGGCACGTCGGCGCGCGCGCAGCTCTGGACCGTCGTGGCGAGCGAGGCCCCTGACCGCGAGCTGCGAGCACATCCGAGCAGCTGCCGGGGGCCGTTGGCGGACGGCTGCGCAGGCGCGGCGCTGCGACTTGGCCGCGGCCGAAAAATCAGCGACCATCGCGGAGGCAACTGCAGCGATCCTGGCGAGGAAGCCTGGGTCCAGGGCGCCGTCTATGGCTCCGGAGCCTGCGCGGCCCCCGAACTGGCCGCCGCCGCCGCTGCCCTGCGGCGACGACGCGGTGCCTGGCGGGCGCTCGGCGCGGAAATCGCACCCGCCCCCGCGGGTGCCGCGCGTTATGGCGGCCCAGTCGCAGCCGCGCAGATTGCGACGCTTGCCTCTTCCTTTGTCGGGCGAGCGCTTACCTTTACTCTGCCATTTCCCGCCGAAGGAGACCAGGGCTACTCGGGTATCTGACAGCCCCATGAGAAACGCGCGCGCCAGGGAACCTTCGCCTTTGCCTCTGACTTTCCTAGAGAAGGTGCAGGTGTCCATCTGGGCGAATTTGCGTATCTTGCGCGTGGGGCGTCGCATGCGTCTGCGCCGATGTCGCCCAGCTGTCTTCATCTGCCAGAACCACCCAGCGTCCACCTTAGGAGTGTCGAGACCCTGAGTGTGCCAGGGGCCATGTGTGCGGTTGCTGTTAGCGTCGGTCATGCCTGCGAAACCTCCGAACGGCGGCGGCGAACGGAAAGCGCTGACGAAGTCATTGGGTGCATGCTCCACGGTGTGGCCCACGCGCCTTCGCATGGTCGTGGGATTGTTGATATTGGCCTCAGTGGCTGGGCATCGCTTGCCGCAGGGCTGGAATAGCGCCATGAATTGGCGAGCTGCGATGCCAACCGCTCGGACGAACAGCCCGCTATAGCCTTCCCGAATCATCGCAGCTCTACCTTGTGCGTAGCTGAGAGAGCAGCGCGTCGATGGTTTCGTTGCGTCGCCTCGAGAAGTCGAAGAATTCGCAAATTGCCTAGATGCGCGACTCCTCGCCTGGTGGACCGAACTGTGTGTCGATGTTCGGGATGAGGTAGGCGACGGCATCCTCCCGATGGCCGTTGACCATGCCTCCCTCCATCAGATCCATGAAGATCATGGAGCGCGTAAGCTCGCGAGCGGCCCCACGGAGGTTTAAGATGACGGCGGCGCACTGTTGCGCGTCATCAATCTCGGTGGCTAGCACGCTCCAAGCGAGCGTGTCCTTTGCCCAATGGCTAGATCTATCGCACCGCGGCCGTCGCCACCCTGTGGGCCCACTCCACCAGGCATCATGAAGACGAGCCAAAAACGATGGCCACGAATAACACGAAGATGCTGTCCCAAAGCGTCAAGATGGATATGATCCTCGATAAAACGTTTCGACGATGAACGCCATGTCGAAACGCGGGGCAGCCATGCTGATGCCGTCGACTTTGGTCGGAGCCGAACTCGGTGAAACTGGCACGTTCGCTTTCAATGTTCCACTCGTGTGGTGCCATGTGCAATGTGCTCACAAGGACAGCCAACACTATCGCGCACGTGCCGAGGCACGGCGCTAGCTCAAGAAAGAGCCTTGCAGTCATGCCCGACGCGAAGCTGCGGCCAGTGCCTGTGAGGTTGCGATGGGTCGAACATCGTTGTGGCGCTCCCGTGGGCAAGTCGCTCCTCATCGCGGTCACGCCTTCTGCTGTTGCCCTCGCGTGTCGGAACGGCTGTCCGCGGCGAGCTGCGGGTTGGCTTGCAGAACAGCCATAAGCACAGGCAGCTCAAGGAATGGAGGGTGGTACCGATGCGGAAGTGAAGAGAACTGCACATGTACGTCCATACCACACTCGTCGCACGTTTCGTGGGTCGCGAGATGGGATCGCTCCCAGCATCGCGACTCACTAGTTGGAATTGCGGGTGCTGGAACCTGTACGAGAGAAAGCATGGCAGCAATAATATGTTGAATGCACTGTTGAACCTTTCGTGCGATATGCAACTCTGCGTCGACGCTTGGTCCAAACAGTGGCGACCCATCCTCTTTGAGTGGCAGGAGGGGGGGGACAAGCTAGGTGCGCTCGCGTCATATCTGACATCCAACCCTTCCCTCCCATCCCTTACCATGGCGTACATTCCCTCTCTACTCGCACAGTCGGATGTCGAGCACGGCAATGATCCCGAAAGGGTACGCGATGCATTGTAGAACACGGCGTGGCATGGCGTAGAAGAGCACTGCAAAACGTAGTGCCAACCTAGCATTGCATTGCATGCCGTGGCATGGCACGGGAAATGACGCTAGCGCTGCAGCGGGGGCACGAGTCGAAACGAGCGGAAACGCGGAAATGAGGCCAGCGCTGCAGCGGGAGCACGATTCGGAACGAGCGGAAACACGGAAATGAGGCCAGCGCTGCAGCGGGAGCACGACTCGGAACGAGCGGGGCCCGAAAATGAGGCCTGCGCCTCAGCGAGAGCAGCATTTTGAAAACAAATACAAGCGAAAACCCAACTCCGGGGAAACCTGTAAAAAACAATACGGGGGGGGGGTGTCGAGCACTTTCAAGCCGTCATCAGGGGAAGAGGGAGAGTAGTATTCATATTGAGGAATTGTCGAGCAAAGGAGGGGCGAGGGATGTTGGGAGACTCCGATGCTGTCACCGGGACGGCCCGCCCTCTACCTTTACTGTTCCTCCACATCCTCCACCGCCCCCCCCTGCCCCTGGAGGCCACCAGCGGTTTTATGTCTCCCCCTCTCCCTCCCCATCCTCCTCACCCCGCCGGGGTCGGAAGGCTTCCCCCCGATCTGGAGCCATGGAGGAGGCAGGGGACAATAGATAGCGGCCCCGAAAGCCCAGGACTGGCGCCAACTGGCGCAGCGGGAGCCGCCGCCGCCGCAAATGGCGCGGGATGGAGGCCTCACCCGAAATGGGGCCGAAACAAATGAATGACGAAAGAAATCGAACCTCGCGCGGGAGCACGCGGCAAACCTCGGTGGCTTACGCGGCACGCCACGTGGAAACAGAGCGCGTTCACGCGCGACCGTGCGTCAGCAGCTCACGCGCGAATGCTCGCGTTTTTGATTATCCCAGGCGTTGGTGGCGCGCGCAAAAGGGAGGCGCGAAGGGGCGAATTTCTACTAAAAAGGCAGGGTGTTCAGAAAGTTGAAAGAATTTGAGAAAGATGGGGGGCTTCTTGGAAGCCCCTGCCTTCTAGACCCCCCCCCCTCGCCCCAGCCCCTTGCGCGCGGGTCCCATTTTGAGTGCGGCCTGGAAACCCAGACCCCCGACGACCAGATTTGTTCCTCGAGTCCCAGGGCCCCCGGCGCTCCTCCACGGAGCCAGCTCTTCATCCCCAGCCGTCCTTCGGCGACGGCCCTGGGTGCCCCCGAAGCGGGCCCCTGGACGCCGAGAGGTGCCGCAAACCTCCGGCGCGATCTTCATATGCTTCGAGTCGCCGGGAGGTCTGGGGATGGACGGGACGCGGCGCCGCGCAGGCGCCGCGGACTGCCTGGAGGCCGAGCGCGCCTGTGTTCGGCTGCCGCTCGTCCGGGGCGTGCCCGCGCGCGCACCCGCGCGCGCGTCGCTGCCGCCCCGGCCCAGGCGCGGCCGCTGGGCGTGCGCCGGAGGCGCCGCCGCAGCGCGGGGACGTGCTGTGAAACGCCCCCCTGGGGGACTTCCTAGGCGATCCATCCCGAACAGTCTCGCACTCGCGAAGAATGGGCCTGGACTACGTCTTCCTTTGCATCCTGTGTTGTGTTTTGTGATGGAACATTTTTGCTGCTCCTTCTCTCGCTTCCTCCTGTCCACCTCCCGCCGTATCTCTCCTCTCTTGCCCTCTCGTTCCTTTGATGTTGCTAGGCGCGCAACTGTCATTCTTTCCGTACCCATGTCGATCGTACCGACCAGCCCCTGCGATCCTCACATCAAAACGCAGCCCCGGCTCTTGGCCGGCTTCTTGTCGCCGGCGGCGGGCGCCAGCGCCGGCGCGACCTGCGGGCCACTCGTTCGAACACCCGACGCCGTGATTTTGCTCTGGACGTGCGCCGCCAGAGCTCTGGACTCCGTGGGCCAGTTTTCCATCCCAGGCTATTTTTGTTACGGCCCCGCGTGGCGTCGGAAAAATGGCGCATGAAGTCAAGGATTGGGACCCCGACGCTTCCAAAGAACTTCCGCGGAGGTCTCCGGAATCCTGGGGACATGAAGCCTCCAATTACGCCGACTCCAGCACCCGCGTGATAGTCTCTTCAGCTTACAAGAAAGTAATCGTCGTCGTCAACTTTGTGCTTGTGGTTGTTGCGTTCGCGGAGGCCCTTCTGATGCCTTTGGCCTCCTCCTCCTCCTTCTCCTGATCCCTCACTCCTCGTACTGCCTTGCCTCCTCCTGCTCCTGCCGTTTCCGCCTCCTCCTGCTCCGCCGAAACAAATGCCCAATCGCCTCTAAGACAGCCAAGATGGCCCGAGATGGCCTCCAAGATGCCTCCAAGACGGTCAAGATGGCCTCAAGATGCCTCCAAGGCGGCCCAAGATGCACCCCAAAGGCCTAAGATGGCCTCAAGATGGCCCAAGACGGCCTAAGAGAGCCCCCAAGAAGCCTCCAAGACAGCCCAAGAGGCTTCCCAAAGGGTATGCAGGAAGGCATCAATTATCCATTATCCTACGGTATCTGAAGGATTTATGTATTGGCTACTCTTCGGCCTTCCGACGACTCAAGAGGCCCCCAAGATCGCCAAAGAAGCCTTCAAGATGGTCCCATAACGGCCCAAGAGGCCCCCGAGACGGTCCCTAGAGGGCCCCAAGACGGCCAAAGGGACCTCCAACTCGGTTCAGAGAGGCCCTTAGACGGCTCCCGACGGCGGCAGACGGGCCAGGAACGCCCCAAGACGGCCAAAGAGGCCCCCAAGAGGGGGCTCGAAGGGCCCCCAAGAGGCCCAAGGAGATTCCCACGTCGCCTTCAAGAGGCTCTCAGGAAGCTCCCAGGCCCCAAGAGGCTCCGTAGAGGCCTCCTCCTTCTCCTCCTACTCCTCCCCTTCCTCCTGCTCTTCTTCCCTCTCCTGTTTTAGCCGCAGAAGCGCTTCCCAAAAGGCAGGGGGCGGCGATGACTCGCCGTAGACGTCTCCGATCCGCCGCCCCCTGTTGATTTATCACAGCGGTGCCCGGCGTGCCAAACGTCTGATGGTTTTTGGTTCTTCCTAAGAATTAATCTCGGGGCTTCGGCTCATTGCGCCAGCCACTCGGAACCACGCATAATTTGCCCGGATCGTTGTCTTTCTCGCTCCTACATGGCCTAAGATGGACCCCAAGACGCCTCCAAGACGGCCAAGACGGCCAAAGACGGCCTCCATGTTCACCCAAGCTAGTCCAAGATGGCCTCCAAGACGGCCCCAGAGGGTCCAAGATACCTCCAAGTCCGCCCGAGAAGCCTCGAAGACGGCCCCAGATGGCTCCAAGATGGCCCAAGACGGCCCAAGAGGCCTCCAAGACGGCGCAAAAGGCCTCCAAGAGGTCCTACAGGAACGCCCGAAGAGGCTCACATTCTCAGTGTTTTCTAAAAAAGGATTTCAACATCTGCTTAGTTTCGATCTTCCGACGGCCCACGACGGCCCAAGAGGCCCCCAAGATGGCCCCATGACGGCCCGAGAGGCCCCCAGACGGCTCTGAGAGAGCCACAAGACGGCCCCAGAGGCCTCCCAGACGCCCAAGATGGCCTCCAGAAGGGCCGGAAGCGCCCTGAGAGGGCCCCAAAACAGCCCAGAGAGGTCCTCAAGACGAATTTCGATTGCGTCAGATGTGCCAGGCACGCTTTACGACAGCCGAAGAGGCCACAACGAAGCTCCCAAATTGCTCCCGAAGAGGACCAAGGAGGCCCTCAAGAGGCCTCCAAGAAGCACCCAGGAAGCGCTCCGGATACCCTCAGAGTGTGCTAATAGGCTCCCAAGAGGCCTCCTCCTCCTCTTTCTCCTCCTCCTCCTTTTCCTCCGTCTCCTCTGGTAATGAAGATTATCCTTGTGATGATTATGATTCGCAATGCTACCATTAGTATCCTCCGTAATACGAATCAGACTATAATTACTACATTATTCTTCACTTGTCAATATTAGTACGTGTTCTTGTTAGTATGGCTATTGACAGTGTCTTAAGACTGGTCATACTATTCTTCCTCGTATTGGTAGAACCATCGTTATGTGTGATGACGGTGATGATACTGAGGACGATGCTGATGCCGATGATGATGATGCTGATGATGATGATGATGGTGGTGATGATGATGATGCTGATGATGATGCTGATGCCGATGCTGATGATGATGATGCTTATGATTCGTAGTATTGGTTATTCTTGATATTATTCATACTATTACTGGTGTCAAATATCATTGTCTTTGCTATTATTCGTATTGCAAGTATTTCTCCCCCACGTGTAGCCTGAAGGGTTTCCACAAAGGCTGGAGGAACAGCTAGTCCGATAACTTGCCCGAGCCCTGGCCACAACGTTTGGCCACATAAACGCTTCCATCAAGGTAACAGGTGGCGGTGATTCGCTGACGGCGTCTTAGATACTTACAAACAATGATGTTTACGCACCCCAAACCAGCCAACACGTGTGCGACTCGACACAGTATCGTGAGCGAACCCCCTTCACTCCGATGCAATGCTGCTTTGCTGGCGCGTCGTCCTCCGTCCATTGTGGGGGGGGGGATCGGGAGCGGGACAGACAAACAGACAAGCGCATGAGATAGCAAATGGGCAAACTAACAAGCAAGCGCACAGACAACCCGATAACCAATTATGTATATATGTATACACACAGACGGGCAGGCGCTGCTCGCAGACAGGTAATTCGGCAAACAAGCAAGCAAAGACAAACAGACAGACCAACTAGCACACGGGCATGTGTGCAAGAGGGAAGGCACACTGACCACGGCGGCGAGTGGGGACAGCAGCGCGTGAAACGGGCACGCATGCTGACGAGTGCAGGACCATGAAGACATCCGCCTCCTTGACGCCAGAAAGAGGAGGGATAGTGCAAACATGCACGTGGCACGTGGCGCTACAGACGACGAAAAAGAGACACACCGACACCACGCATGGCCTTCGAGGCATCGCCAGTGTCGCCGTTTCCTGTCTTCGCCTTGAGGCCAGGCTGGCCTCGGCAGCACACTTGTTCCGCCTGCTCCTGCTCCTCCCTCGTCGTCGTCGTCGTCGTAGTCCTCCTCCTGCTCCCCCCCCTCCTCCTGCAACCTGCCTCCTGCTGCTGCTCCTGCTCCCGAGTCCTGCAAGAGAGAGTGGCCAGGAGGGAGGGGTGGCGGCCGCAGGAGAGGGAGCGGGCGGAAGAGGGGCGCGATCCCAAAGCATGTCCTCGCTCCTCCAGCGCCCCCCTAGCTTCCCCTTGCTGCCCCTTGCCCTCCCACCATCCCTCTCGTTCTTACCCCAACTCCGTCATTCCTCTGCCGTTCCCCGTGCCCCCTTAACTCCGTACCTTCTGGCCCCCAACCTCCCCATTACACGGACTTGCTTCGATCATGCTGCGCCATTCCTCTCCACTTTGCATTCCTCACGCCCTTGCCAGCTTACTTCCCATTCCTCGTGCTTTCTTGATTTGCCTTCCTCGTCACTCCCTAATTGACCCCCCGCTTTGATAGACCCTACAACCTTGCCGCCAGATGGAGAGTATTGGAGAGTACAAAACAACACAGGGTACAACGGGGCGGTCTGCATACGGCCGTGGCGGTCAAGGCCCCTGACGACGCGCGGAGGCGTGCCTGGGCAGACTGGGTGAATCTTGCACAGACAAGATGCGGAAGTGGGCACGCACCCGGTAGGATTTGGTGTGGCTTCGTAGCGAGGACAGCGGTCGGAAGAAGGCGAAGCGAAGCCACCACCACCACCACCATCATCGGGCCACCACCACCATCGGGCCAACTCTCTCTGCTCCTGATTACCCCCTCGGGTTCGCTGACCTGGGTGGGGGCCTGGAAGAGGCGAGGGCCATCATGACCCGCGACATGTTCGCGGATGACCGGGGTCGGGGGGCGTGCGGGAAGAAGGAGAGAGAGGGAACAAAGTCTGGGAGATGTCATGGCCGCGCTCGTAATATATCCGCAGACAGTCTTCGCCCCCTCCTCCCCCCCTTCGACGCGACACGCGGAGGTGCACGGGGCGCTGCCGCACGCCTGCCTGCGGCGGGCGCACCCGGCTCCATCTGGGCCCTGTCGATGATCTTGCCCGCGGCCTGCGGGGTTTTTGTTTGTTATTTTGTGAGCTGGGCGCTCCCAGATTGCATCCAGACATCATCGGTTCTGGGTTCACGTCCAAACTCCTGAGGCGCCCACTTGCCGAAGCGCCAGGAGGCCCGGACACCAAACGCACAGACTTGCTTCAAAGCTTTACCCCCGATGCGGCTGATGATGTTTCATCTTCAATGTATCCCTCTCCAAACTGTCTGTTTGACTGCTCGTGGGCCCGTGATCCGCGGCTACCTGTTCCATATGGGTGCCCAACTAGCAACGTAACACCGAATACCGAACCCCCGAATCAACTGTCCTAGCGAAGTGTGGAAAGAAAACGTGATGCTGATGAGCCCGAGCGTGCACAGCAATGGCCCGCCAACCAGCCTGTCACACACAAGGGCCTGGTACGGGTGACAAGCGGTTGGCCGCAAAGGACCCCTCTTGGAGCCCTCTTTTGGGCCGCATCGGGTGGGCTTCACCAGGGCCTCAAGATTATCTCAATCACCCGTCACACACGCAAGGGCCTTGTGTGTGAGTTTGGTCTTCTTGGGGCGGTCCCCAAGGTTCGGGAGAGCTTCAAGATGTGTCACAAGTGGTTGGGCCGTCTAGGACCCCTTTTGGGGCCTGATTGGGTGGGTTTCGGGGAAGCTCCAAGAGGGCTCCAACACAGTCCAACATTCTGTCACACACACACACACGCACACACACACACATATACACGCACGCACTTTTGGTGACCGCGGCCTCGCGTGCAGCGTCAAGGCGGAGGAAGGTCGGAGCCGGTGCGCGCGCGGCCGGGCCCTCAGAAGGGATTGCTTTAAATCCCATGCGCCCCGCAGTTGCAAACAATCTGGGCGTGGATGGCGGGGAGGGTGACACGCCGCCCACAGCAGGACCTCCCACACGAGACGTAGCGCGAGAGCGTGGAGGAGAGGCATGATCATCTGGGCGTGGATGGCGGGGTAGCGACTCGCCGCCCGACGCTGGACCTGCCGAGCGAGGACGTGGCACGAACACGTGGCATGAGGACGCAAAACAGGAGGATAGACATAAATAGACGGTAAAAGGCAGTGCAGTGATGAGCCGCAGGACATCGCAAGAGTTCGGAGAAGCCTGCGGGGAGCGCCAGCCGCGTGGGGGGAGAAGGAAGGCTGCAGAGGCCGCCAGAAAACGCTGAGGGAGGGCAAAGGACGGGGGAAAGTCTGGAGTGAAAGACAGGGGCGCGTCCTAGGCGAAGCGAAGTGTGGAGGCGCGCGGAGCGCGGAAGGCCACGCAACGGTGAGAGGCGAAGCGGAAGAGCGGAGACGCCGGGCGGACTGCCCGCACGGCGGCAGCAGGAGGGGGCGGAGAAAGCAAGGGCGGAGGAAGGAACGCCCAGAAGCCAAGTGAATTAACGGCGGGCGCGCCCCCCGCGACCATAATGGGCGCGGGATGCGAGGCGCCATCGCGGAGCGGCGCCGCCGTCTTCGGGAGGCGACGCCGGGGCAGCGCCGGGGGCGGCGGGGCGAAAAGCTTACAACCTCGGGAAGCAGCGAGCGGATGAAATGGCTGAGCTGACTGGCAGGAAACGCGGAGGGCCCAAGCAGGCTTTGCACCATTGCGCACTGACGTGGGCGTGGTTCTCGAAGCCCTTGTCCAGCATGGCGGAGACCCGGGCGACAAGGGCGTGGTGGCCCGCACCCAGAGCGTTGGTCGGGACTGCCCCTGGGGCCTTGCTGGTCGTCGCGCGATGCTTGGAAGGCGGGGGCTCCGTGGGCCCGGAGGTCGCGCCTCGTCGCTGCCCAGCGCCGATATGGAGCTGGGGGCCAGAACGATCGGCAGGAGGGAGCGGCGCCTCCCGCTGGCAGCGGCCGCCCGGCTCAGTGGAGCGCCTGCCGTCCGCCCTTGGCGCGCGGGAGCGGGCCGCTTCGCGACTTCGCGTGCGGCCTGCGGGGCGGGCGGCGCGAGCAGGGCGGGGGCCAGCGGGCCCCCCTTGAGCGGGGAGCGCCGTACTGAGACGCTGGGAAACGCGAGTTGCTGGAGAGGTGGGCGGGTAAGGGAGGCGGCGTCCGTGCGTCGATGCACCTGGACGGCTTCGTCAGGAGAGGCGCTCCCGGACGCCCCGCGGTGCGCGGGCGAAGCGGCGGGAAACCTGGGAACACTGATGGCGTTGGGGAAGTCGCGAAACTGTGGCGACTGGGCCCATGATGCTGAACCCCGGGCGCGGCAGGAGTGGGCGAGGGGGGGCGAATTCACAATGACAATCAAGGCAGCCGTGACGTCGCGCTGCTGATTCGTCAAGTATCAGGCGCCATGCCCGCCGACCGGGTCGCGCAAATATACCGCTCCAGAAGGCGAGGGTCGGCGCGGAAGAAAGCGGGGCCCCTGGGGGCAGCTCGCAGGAGGAATTGCTGCCTGATGTCCGGACGCCTTGTGCCGCGCCTGACGTTCTGGACGTGCCTGATGATGTCGGCGTTAGCGATTTAAGGGCAGCTATAATTGAAAACCGCAGGAGCACCTCGGGGCATTCAGCCGCCTAACAAAATCTCACCGGCCCTCTGGGCGTAGGTGGTGTAGGGAGGTTTTTTTCCAACCCCCTTCTTCCCCTTCTGGGAAGGGTTTACCCCTCCCCCCTCCCCCAGCCCCCTGGACCTGGACGGGGTGGTCTCGGGTACTTGGACCTTCCAAGATGGCCCAAGACGGCTACAAGAGCGCCTCGGGAAGCACACTATGACCTCCAATATAGGTCAAGATATCGCAAGATGCCTCAACATGGCTTTCAAGATGCTCCAAGAAATCCCAAGAACGCTCCAAGACGGTTCCCTAAGGCCTTCGAGACCTCCAACGCGTTCCCCAAGAGGCCCAAATGTTCCAAACACCTGAATAAAATCACAGAGTTTTGCTTTCGCGCCTTTTCGCTTCTGATGGGCATTCGAAGCCTCAATATGGCTCCACGATGGCCCAAGAGGGCCCCATGAGCGGCCCAAGAGAACCCCAAGATGGGATCCAGGAGGCGATTGTCGGAGCTCCCGAGAAGGGGGGGGGGCGAATTGGACCTGTTCTTTTTTTGATCGATGTCCTCCAATATGGCCCCAAGAGCGCCCCTGAAGCCCCAAAGAGCCGCCCAGGAGGGCCCCAAGAGGCGCCCATACAACCCAGGGGGGCCTCCAAGAGGCTCCCAAGAGGCCTCAAGAAGATCCCCGAAGCACCCAAGTCTCCCTCCTGTTCCTCCTTCTCCTCCTCGTCATCGCCCTACTCCACCTCCCCATCCACCTCTTATTCCTCTTCCTCCTCCTCTTCCTCCTCTTTTTCGTCTTCCTCCTCCTCCTCCTCCTCCTCCGACGACGACGACGACGACGACGACGATTCCTCCATCCTCCCCCTCTTGGGGTATATGGCGGTTTCCCCCGCCTTTTGTTCTTCGGCATGCTCCCCCACTTCCCTGATCACCTCAACTCCCCTGGGCATCGTTTCTGGATGGGCTGGCGGGGATACTTTTTGGCTCGCGGGCTCGCGAAGCAGGTCGAAAGCCGGGCAGAGCTAGGGCGGGCCGCGCCGAAGCGAAAGAAAAAACAGGAAGGAGCAACGCCCGGCTCAGAAGCGGGCTCAGCGTCCAAGATGACGTAGGAACTGGCGGACAGGCACTGCGCGAAGCGGTGCGAAGGCGTCGAGGAAACACCAGAAGCGCGAGAAAGGTGCCAAAGGCCGTGTCCGAGATGGTGGCGTAGATGACCAGGACGCCACGCTTACCCAGAGGCGGTGACGACGGTAAGCCAGACCCGACTTGCCGAAAACGAAGACCTTGCAGAGGCACAGGAAGACCAGGAGACCCTACATAGGCGAAAACCACCTCGGTGAAGAAGACCCAAGGAAGCGGCCGCCCCGAACGACGGTCACGGAATGCGTCCGACCGCGATGTAAACAGGGCCGGTGGGGATACGCGAAGCGTCAACAGCTTGTTTACTGCAGTGGTTTTCGCAACTGCACCAGGAGCCTCACCATGCAGGGATGGGAGGGGCGTCCTGTTGTGGACGCTCTGTTGGCTGATGGTCGGCGTGCGTGCGTCCCATCGAATGGTATATACATGGAGACGACGGCTGGATGCGTGCTGCGGAAGGGGTGGCGGTGGAGACTGACGTGAAGAGGGGAAAAAGGAGTCGGGGGCTTACGAGGAGGAGGGGGGATCAAATACAGATGCGGAGCAGGGGCGGCGGGAGGAGACTGAACCCGCTGGAACAGGGGGACAGGGCGGACAAATGTTGCCCCCGATGCACAGTGGAGAAAGGAGAAGGGGAGAAAGGAGCCCAGGGACGGAAGACGAATGGGGGGGCGCACGGCGAGGAAGGCCAGGAAAATGAATTCGAGGGCAAGGCTCGGCCGAGGAGCATGGCAATGTGAAGGGGGAGGTGGAGCAAGAGAGCCATTGCGAGGAAGGCGAGGGGCCCTTCGCAGGGCGCGCGAGGGTCCTAAACGAACGACGATCACGCGATCACGCCATTGGAGCATGGGCCGAAAGGAGTGCTGGGGGGAGGAGGGCAAAGTAATCCTGCAAAAACGCGGGGCAAGCCCACAACAACGGATTCCCAAGTTTGCCCCACAGTGGCGCCAATGGGCAACATGGATACGGGCACCCGTGCAACCTCCTGGACGGACCTCCCACCCCTTGCCTGGTCACGCCGCATGGTGTGCTGGGGGGGGAGGCACAATGGCCAAACTCTACTCTACAGGTCGACCGCTGGTCGAAGAGCAGGTAAACCAACTCTACAAGTGGAGCAAACATGTGTTTGTTTACCAAAAAGCTTCTACAGATAGAATGAGCACTTTCTCACCCCTCTGGCGCGAACGGCTGCTTCTGCAGGTCGAACATGCATTTGTTGACCCCCCGCCCCCTCTTCAAAACACATGCGAAACGTCGGGCGTAAACAGGCGCAGCCTATACTTGTTTACATGTACCCCCAGCGGGTACCTCAGGGCGAATTTGCCTCTACAAGCACAAACTCTACACGTTTACGAGGAAGCCGCG